TGGCTGACAAAATAATTATTTAATACATGTTTTGATTCACCAAATATCACTTTCTTAACTCTTCTGAAACATTTGCATTGTGTTGTCTAAAAAATAAATACAGTCTAAAAACCTCCGAACATGAAACTTATTTCTTGTTATTTTGACTAGTTATCATTTTGTTGTCTCTAAATGACAACATTTTTATTTGAACAAAGGTTTTACTCAAACATATAGCATATATACATTATAAATCCAGAGAAAAGGAGAACTCCAAGTGGTCTCTTAATTCATTTCGATGCAATAAATTGGTGCAAATGGGATTCTTAGGTCTTCAAATCAAATACGTTTGCTATAGAAAATGCTTTTAAAAATTGTGACTCTCCAAAACAGAAGTTTATTTTTCATCTGCAGCATATAAACACTCAGACATAATAACAGAGGCTGAGCAGAATGATAAAGCACCCTTTTCTATTTTTTCCTCTATTTCTTGTGTGTGTATAAATGCCCATAACCCTCAGATAAAGGTAGCAGTGGTCTTTTGTTTTAGGAAAGTTTTGTTCTCGTTTAAGTAAGTGTCAGCAGGAGACAAGCTGCTAGAGAGTTGGGGGACAAAAGGTCAGGCATGGCTTTACCTGTGAGAGTAACGCGGATGACCCCAAGTCAGGACTCTCAAGAGCAACTGCTGCTGAACTCTAGACCTTGACAAAACTACAAGCCATGTGCAAATTTTTCTGCTTCCGATTTTCCCATTGGAAATTCCCTCGGGACCTGGGACAGTTGTAACTTTTTTTGCATTTTCCATCACAACACAAAGACTACCATATATCTTACCTGCCAGCATTTGGTGTGCGAAGCATTAATATGTGTCAGAAACAAAAAGTATAAACAAAAATATCTAGTCCAGCTAAGACCAACTTGTTTATATCTGTAGTCAGTGAAACAAAAAACTAAGTTTTAAGTTAATTTCTTCTATTTATATTTAATAAACACTAGTGTTTAGGATTGGTAAGATTAAAGAGTCTCTTATGTTCAGTAAGGCTGCATTTTTTAAAATAAATAATACAGTAAACTTTACAATTTGGAACTTCAGCTAAAATATCTAAATTATAATGGTTTTCTTTGTTAATATACTTTTTTGTTACTCCAGTCTTTAGTTTCACATGCTGATTGTTAATATACAATTACAGTCAGAATTATTAGCCCCCTGTTTATTTTGCCCTAATTTCTGTTTAAAAGAGAGAAGACACATTTCTAATCATAATAGTTTTAATAACTCATTTCTAATAACCGGTTTATTTTGTCTTTGCCATGATGACAGTAAATAATATTTTACTAGATTTTTTAAGACATGTTTTTACAGCTTAAAGTGACATTTAAAGGCTTAACTAGGTACAAGGCAGGTTAGGGTAATTAGTCTAGTTATTCTATAATGCTGGTTTGCTCTGTAGAAAAAATAAATATAGCTAAAAGGGGCTAATAATTTTGACCTTAAAATGTTTTGTAAAAAATGAAAAACTACTTTTATTTTAGCCAAAATAACGCAAATAAGACTTTCTCCAGAAAAAAAATATTATCAGACATACTATAAAAATGTCCTTGCTCTGTTTAACATCTTTAGAGAAATATTTAAAAAAAGAAAACAATTTAAAGGGGGTTTATTAATTCTGATTTTAACTGTATATATTAAATTAAGATTTAATAAATATATCAGATGAAGTTTTATCCCTTTTCTTTTTTTATTTTGTAAGAAAGAATAGAAAATTTAGTGTTAGAATAGAATAGAATAGAATAGAATAGAATAGAATAGAATAGAATAGAATAGAATAGAATAGAATAGAATAGAATAGAATAGAATAGAATAGACTACAAAGTGGTTAGTGGTTAAAGACCAGAGCATTTTAATAACTAAATAAAGAAGAAAATGAAATAGTAAGTAAATATTAGTAATATATCAAGTTTTGATGAAAAACATCTTAAATCTTTTATACATTTTAAGACCAATCCTGATTCTACCTCTAAGCTCTTCCCCTTACCTCATTTTGCGTGTTCCCGTGAAGAGGTAGGGGTTTCCAAATTCTCTTTAGCTTGAAGGCGTAGGGCTAAGGGGAAGAGGTAAATAGCCCTTCGAACAAAGATTTTTCAGGACCACACTCGAAATCAAGGGGTAAGAACATTTCCCAGAATACACCAGCCACAATAGCAAGATCGCAAGGACCTGGAAGCAAGAAGATCCTCAAATTAGTATTTTTGTCATTATTACGAATGTTTACAACAATCAAGCACATGTTTTAATATATTCATAACCGCGTTCGTGTTTTACGTAATGCTTTTGAAAAAAACGTTAAAACCGCTAAAATAAAAACCGCAAAATGTTGCGATTTATAATCCATAATCATAACTGTATAGCAGTTCCACAACATAATGACACTTGAATACCCTGTCAGTAATGTCTAGTGGCTGGGAATGAGCTTTTTACAGTGTCTAGTATACTGTTAATGTTGTTTATTGTGTGTTTAAATAAATGAATATGGCCACTGTGTAAATGCGCAGTATAGTTATTGCCACATTAGATCGTTATGATAATATATGTCTTCAGTTATTTCCTGAAGATAAATCTAAAAAAATAGCACAACTGAAATAACTACAGCAGTCGCAGTCGTCTGATCTCATATGAAGCAAGAGATCGCGATGACATATGATGATGTGTGCAGGTGTCTAAGTGCTGTCCCAATTCTTTTGGGTAAATTTTAAAGCCCTTCCCCTTCACCCTCGTTTTTAAGGGAGAAGGAAGAGGTACAAAAATAGAATTGGGATTGGGCCTAATCATCCTTTTTGACAGTTTAGCTCAGTAGTGTAACCAAATTATTATTATTATTATTTATTAAAAACAGCATGTACTCTGTCCGCGTGTATAAATGAAAAAGTGTATCTAAAAAATGTTACACTTTCTGTTAAAAAAAGATAAAATTTATTTTTTGTGTGATTTACTGTTTTTATATAATCTTTTTAAAAAGGTACAGAATATTTTGTGAAAATATAACCTTGATTTCTTTAATATTGACTGAGTTAGGCCATGTCAAAGGTTCACTTCATTTCAGACTCAGAAAATCTTCTTTTTGAGAACTTTCTCAACCTTATATTTACAACTGCAACGCATCTAAATCATAATGTTAGATTTTGCTGTATTTGGCTTAATCATTTTTGGGTGGCTCGGCAATCTATTAAAAGCAAGTAAGCTGATCAAAGTTCTTACGGGAAGAAGACTTTATTAAAGACAATGATTAGTGCAGTTCCTCAGCATTAATGTTAACCCATCGGTTTTCAAGTAACTAAACCCAAAGTACTGTCTGTGAGACACTTGTTTATAACAAAGGATATGACTCCCAGGAGATTACCCAACTTATTTGATTGGGTCACAACTCTTAAATACCTGTAGGCCATTTGGTTCACACTTTTCAGATGCAAATACTTGTATGCATGTGAAGCAAGCCATATAATCTATCTATTATCATATAGCCATGTACTGTACCAGCTGAGATTCCCCCAATTGCAGTTTTATATGACTTATTTAAGGGACAGGTCTTTAAGTTTTTTAAAACAGGTCTTATTTTTATAATATGATGGTGCAAAAAGAATAAAAAACAATTAAACTATTGTGCGTGGTACAGACCCTTTATTTGTAAAATCAAATATCAATCAACAAATGTTAATACATATATGAATTAAATACTGATCAATATGTGACATGAAACTGTAAAACATCATCAACCTCTTTTAGGGTTATCAAAGATAATAATGACATGATAGCTCATGATAGCTACAGTAAGCTGTAGCATTTAATAACAAAGAGTTGAATTAAATGCATAAAATAGGCCCATAATAGCTAGACTCTACCATGGTTTATTACACTGTATTATTTTCAAAATACATTTACTATAATGTTTTTTTATGTGTTAGCATTACATTGGCCGGATACACAGAAGCTCGCATTTACTACATATTCAGCTATGGAACGCTATGTCATAATTTGGGATAGTTCTACCTCTATGTATATTACATTAAATGTTAATAAATTGCTATCTGTTCCTTTGGAACTGCTGACCTAATTATTTCATGGTGCATCTGCTATAAAATAAACTTAAAATAATCAATTACCTTTACATTTGTTGAGCTTTAAAATAAAAAATAATGCGGAAAAGGCTAAACAGAAAGCAGAAATGGGATAAAGTTGCAGTTTTCCTGTTGTTCAAAGGACTGATCTGATGTTCGAGCATGTGGAACAGTGGTCTCAAATTCTATTCCTGGAGGGCCGCAGCTCTGCATAGTTTAGCTCCAACCATCTCCACCTCACACCTGCTGAATAGTCTCTAGTAACCTTGATTAGTTGGATCAGCTGTGTTTAATTAGGGTTGGAGCAAAACTGTGCAGAGCAGCGGCCCTCCAGGAATCGAGTTTGGGACCTGTGATGTGGAGAGATGTTAAAATATTATATTAATCTGTTTGCAATCTCTAAATGTATTAAAATATTCCTATGACAATCGCGAGGTGTTTCTGTACTGAAAGTAAACCCAGAGACGATTGAAATCAGTTTTCAGGTAGCAAACCTATGCTTTGTGAGTGTTTTTTTATGCAAATAAACTAGACGCAGTGTTGATAACATGGTTAATTTAAGTATTTATCATGTTATAAATGTAGATATAGTACTATATATATCACAAAACCTTGATATCTATCATGTACAGTAACAAACTGAAATTGCATATCGACTTGGACTATCTTGATAATGCAACTTTAGCTGGGGTTTATATACACACACACACACACACACACACATATATATATATATATATATATATATATATATATATATATATATATATATATATATATATATATATATATATATATATATATATATATATATATATATATTGATGGATGTCTTCTTAGGATGTCACACAGCAGCACACCAGTGTCCTTGCCTGACAAGTCATGTCAGTTTACTGTTTGATTTTCAGGATCAACATGGGCCAAGGAATCGTCATCAATAACCTCAGCTCCAGATCGGTTCTCACAGTGAAGAACATGACACAGGACCGCTATGGCAACTACACCTGTGTGGCTGTCAACAGGTTGGGAACAGCCAACGCCAGTGTGCCTCTGAATCGTAAGTAACAAGCATTACTCTCCCATGGCTAACTCCGGTTGTGCTGCAAGTTGCTCTTTCACAAATGCTGCAAGAAAACAACAGTTTTGCCTATACGTTACTGAGGAAAAAGGAGATGATGCCGATCATTATTTTGAAGTCTGAAGATTTCTGTGAAGCTTAAAATGAGATGGAATTTCTTTAAGCGGTCTGTTTGAAATGCTTAGTGTTTTTCTGATTCAGTGGTCGCTGAGTCAATAAGAGAAGTGGGCTAACAAGATAAACAAACCAATAAAAAATAATAATAAAAAAACAGCAAATAAAACAGTCGTAGACTTAAAAGTGGCAGATGGAAACGTTGAGTCCTCTGCTTTCAAACGAAGCGTATCAAAGGCCCAGCTGAGATGAAAATTCTAGTATCTTTCACGTTCTGTTGAAGACCGACAGACTGTGATGCAGGAAACCCAGAATAGACCAGAAAGCTGCATCTTCTCCTCCCACCAGAGTAGCTTGGCACCTTTTATTTTCCTCATCGCTAATGAAAAGGAAACCTACCCTACTGTGCTCCTAATGAGAAATGGCAAGCAATTCCTCCACGTCTCCACATCTGTAGAGATTGCAAATGCTGGACGTCGTTGCCTGGGACTAAATTGCTGTTATAATATTGGTCAATAAGTATTGATGAAGCAAAGGTGGATTCAGGGACACATTAATATTTAATGGAGGACCTCAACCTCAGAGACAAGGTGTGGAGTACTAATCAAAGTGCAGTGTTTGATTTTCTCCTCGGCTTGAAGAAACCTATCATTTCGCTCTATTTATAGTCCGGCGTGTGATTTCCGCCCTCATATTTTAGACCTTGTATCGATCGAAAAGTGTTTCTTAGATTATTTCCACAGATTTGTTTTGTTGTCTCCTCATCCCAGACAGTCAGCATCCCCCAGCCAACCACTAGAGTCATAGAATTAACTACTTTCCTCCCTGTGGAACCGGCTGGGTCATTTATTGTACTGTACGTCTGCCAACATCAAGGTGATTGAGTGCTTTTGGCGTCTACAAAGGGTATTTAGCATAGTGAAATGCTCTTTAATGGCGGAGATGAGCTCCCATTAAAGGTCCTCTATAGCAAGGTGAAAGTAAAAGAGGGTAAGGGTTATTATTCCATTTCGTTAGGATCTTTTGGTGGAACTAGAATGTCAGAATTCTGTGTTTTGACTAAAGGGTGGATTTTTTTTCTTTTTCTGTTGTTTGCTTATTTATTAGCAGTTCTTAAAGGAATAGTTCACTCCAATTAAAACACCTAATCATTTACTCATTTTCTTCTGTGAAACATGAGAGTTGTTTTTAAATCTATAGACTTACTTTTTATGTACAAAGCCTGCAGGCACAGGATGTCAACATATTGACGCTGTACCTTAATGTCATGGGGATGTTGGATTTTGTTTGGTAACCCAATTTCAGGCCGACGTCAATGTCAAACGTCCAACCTTAAATCAATCAAATATCAACATCTAACCATGTTACACCTTGACGTTGTGTGGACGTTACCACAATGACATTTATCAGATGTTGCATTTTGGTCACTTTCCCACACAACCTAAAATCAACCAAATATCAACATAATTTTATGTCATTATTGGATGTCAAAATAACTTTGCCCTTGGACGCTCCATAGACATTGAATTTTGGCCACCTGATGTCATGACCTAAATCTAACCTAATAATAACGTCTTATGATGTTGTTTACCTGCTGGGAAAATAAGGGATGAGCGATATTGGATTACATATCGTATGCTGATGTTTTTCAAGAAATTGTGGATGATAGTGCCAGACAGAATCAGTGGATATTTTTTGCTATTTTTGCACAAAATTTTGTAAAAAAAAAAATAATAATAATAATAAAAATAAATAAATAAATAAATAAATAAATAAAATCTGTGTATTTAATTTAAATTATTTTGGCAGTATAGTAACTAAAAACTCAAAACAATTCATTAAAATAATGACTTTTGAACTTTAATTTAAGATTTACAATGCAAATACAATTAGATCCATTTGTTTGCTAAACAAAGCAAGTCTCTCAAATAACATACAGTATCCATGAAAATATAGAAAATATTACTTTACAAATTGTATTGTAAATAAATCATATAAACATTTGAATAATACTATATAAAATGACTGAAATCAATGTTAATAAAACAAAAACAAAACCCCAAAAAAATCAATAACAGGGTGAGAGTGTGGTAAAACTTGAAAATGTGGTAAAAATCAGTTGAGGACTTTTCAATCTGGATTGCTTTTCAAAACAATGCGATTGGGTTTAGGGAAAGGGTGGACAGGTCAATCGGTGCTTTTTAAAATAGTATTGGTTTGGTTTAGGGAAGAATTGGGCGTACCGGTATGTCAGTTAGTCAGTCGACAGCGGCTTCTGGTGGATTTACACGAGAAGAGCACGCGTGGATGGCACTCATGAGAGAAATTGGATGTCTGAATAAGCCTACACAGTGGCCCCTGGTGGATTTGCGAAAACAAAAACTGCAAAAAAAAAAAAAAAAAAAAAAAAAAACATAGCTCCTGGGATGTATTTTACACTGTCCGGAAATGTATACAAGGGTTTGTAATCAGAATGAGTCTGGGTTGGTTATAAAAAGACTCTGTGATGGGTTAAAAAATCTGTGGACCTCTTGATATCTTTGCTTTTTTTGTTTGGAAAGTGTTTTTCTCGGTGTATTCCAATTTTACAAGTATTTACAGGATGTTTTTTTAGGTTATTGCTTCTGACCATTAAGTCATATCAGACTTGGGATTTTTAGTTTAAAACCTTTTACATTTAGACAACAACTTGATCGCTGTATGTCCCCTGTTCACACAAATTTGCAAAAAATGACTGAAAGTTCTGTATTATTGACCTCAGGACAGTAGTTGGCAGTATACAGACATGTAGTCTGCCAAATTATTTTGAATGTCAACTATTCACACATGCCTATGGACTGAACACACAATCTGCATGCAAATGGCTTCAATGTTTTTACAAAACCAAGTTTTTCTTATATTAAGCAGAGAACAGAAAGGTATCATATTAAAAAAATGTTGAAACACATTTTTAAATGTGTGCGTTGTAAGGCCTCTAAAATGATGTTGTTACGTATGTAAATGAACAGTCAAATTGCATCCAGTTTGAGTTTAAAGAAATACTTGAAACATACAGGCAAAAGTTTGCTTTAACAGGTAAATATTGCAGACACAGTTTTATTTGTCTAAGGCAAGTGGTTCCCAAAATGGGTTTTTTTTTATTGGATTATGACCCTTGGGATAATTACATTATATTAAAGACACAGCAACAGTGTCAGATGTAGCAGATTGATTTTATGGCGCCAGGTTAAACTTTCTGGCACATTTACAGCACTCACATACATTTTTTTTTTAAATTTAACAAAAAAAACACTTAGGCCTATTGTTGTGTGTGCGCTGTTGCATATTTCTATATTTATAACCACCTCAGAGGATATTGGGGATCACGAGTCTCTGGCATTGGTATTTTGGGGGTCGTGGGCTGAAATGTTTGGGAACCCCTGGTCTAAGGACATATCTGTAACACTGTACATTGCTAATAAATTATTTTGTAAAGTGTTCAGCAAAAGGTTTTGAGAAGTCTGGAACATCATGGTGATTAATTAATAATACAGTTGTTAATTTTTGGCTGAACTATCCCTAAAATGTTCCATCAAAATAGAAAGGATACACACTGGCCCAGTTTTACGCATAGAGAGCTTGTGTACGAATCTCAATTCATCACTCTTTCCCTCATTGTTTCATGCTTTATACAAAGCACATGTTTAAATGTAAATCCTAACAGCAGAATTAGAACGTTAACTGACATTATGCTTAAGAGATTAAAATTTCATTAAGAAAAAGTGCACTTTCATGAAACGCTGGCATTGATATGCACTCTGCTAATGATGTTACTGTCAGATATACTCTGAGATCGAAGCACATGTTTAAAACTGCATTATTTAAGCCTTACCAATTGCCAAATGACCCCAATATAGCTAATGGCCTTGCTTGCAATAGTGGAAGAGAGATTCTCTTCTGTAGATATAAAAAATGCATGTCAAAGCAACACTCTCAGTCAGTCTTTGTTTTCCCCCAACATCTCAATGGGAATTCATTAGTGCAGAAGATATTAACTCTGAAGGATGAGTTTAGTACATATTAGTAATTGACTATAATGGAAATAATCTCACAGAATGCTGAGTTTTAGTGCATGCAGCTGCAAGCGATGATTGCGTAAATTGATAAACATACATGAGTTTCAGCATCAGTGTATGATAATATTCATTCATTCATTTTCATTCATTTTCTTTTCGGCTCAGTTCCCTTATTAATCTGGTGCCGCCACAGCTTTATTAACCGCCAACTTATCCAGCATATGTTTTACGCAGCAGATGCCCTTCCGGCCGCAACCCATCACTGGGAAACACATACTCATTCGCACACATACATACACTACGGACAATTTAGCCTACCCAATTCACCTGTATCGCATGTCTTTGGACTGTGGGGGAAACCGGAGCACCCGGAGGAAACCCACGCAAATGCAGGGAGAACATGCAAACTCCACACAGAAACGCCAACTGACCCAGCTGAGGCTCAAACCAGAGACTTTCTTGCTGTAAGGCGACAGCACTACCTACTGCGTCACCTTGTATTATAATAGTATATTTATTTATTAATTCATTTTTAAGACGAGCTAGGTCGCTGGGCCAGCAGTCATAAGAGAGAACCCCAGACTTTCCTCTCCCCAGACACTTCCTCCAGCACCTGCAGGGGGATCCCAAGGCATTCCCAGGCCAGCCGAGAGACATAGTTTCTCCAGTGTGTCCTGGGTCTTCCCTGAGGCCTCCTCCCAGTGGAACATGCCTTGAACACCTTCCTAGGTAGGCGTCCAGAAGGCATCCGAAACAGATGCCCGAGCCACCTCAGCTGACTTCTCTCGATGTGGAGGAGCAGCGGCTCTA